AAACACTTGCAATAGCAATTAAGATATGAATAATCTTAATTAACACTAATTAAGAGAATAATGAAAATGATTTAATTGAAAATAAAATATAGTCTGCGTTTACATCATTGATGGAGTCAGTGAAAGACAGGAGATCAGATGGCTGCCAACACCCAACATAAACATTCATTCATCTCCGACCAAAAATACTTTTTTAAATTAAAAAATTCCGCCGCACATTTTCCGAGACATATTTTTTTCCTGCTCAACACGCCAAAACTTCCCGGCGCCCTCGAAGCCGCAACCTCTTCCTCCTCCATTTTTCTTTTTCTTTTAATAAAAATATTTAATTAATTACTTGTATTTTTTTAAAGTAATTTAAACTAAATTTATTGAATTTTCGTAATACCCATGAATAAATCATATTATAAAATAATAATAATAATAAATTTGTGTTTTTTTTTTTTAAAAAAAAAAAAAAAAAAAAAAAAAAAAGTAAGATGAGAATGATGAAAAATTTTGTTTGTTAGTGGAGGTTAGGGATTTGGAAAATGCAATAAATAAAAAGTGTATTGGATTATCATCATTCCATTTTGTTGTTTGGTATCATCACTTCCTCCTCATTTACTCATTACCAAACAACACTACACTTCTTCTTTCTTATATTTCATCCTCCCTCGGTAATTTCAATTTCTTTTTTTTTTTTTTTTTTTTTTTACCCTCTATTAATTATTATTTCTATTTATTATATGATTAAAATGCAGAAACTGGTTTGAAAATTTTGGCATATGTCTTGTACCCTCGTGATGTGCAGGAGGCAGTTTAATTGCTCCATTTAATTCATCATTTATTATATTTTCTCCCCACTCCGTACCATCTCCCTCTCTCTTCTCTTTTTTTTATACATTTTAACTTTACCCAATATTTTTCTAATTCTCCTAATTTAATATAATAATAATAATTAATTTCCAACATAAGGGTAGATGTAGATTTTATGATATTACACATGTTTTACATATTGCGAAATTGTATTGTTATATTTAAAATATAAAAGAGGGGGAAAAGGAAAAAAGGTGAAGTGGGGTTTGACTTTTCATTTGAGAAATAATATCCAAGTCAATTTATTTGTTTTATTATATATTGAAATATAATAAATTTGTAATTTTTTTAAAAACATATATATATATATATATATATAAGGGGCTCCTAGAGCCACCCTAGAAACTCAACCGCTACAACATCACATCAAAAATCGAAAGGTCTAGCGAGGTTAGGCCGGGTTTGGTTTGGGCAGTAAAAATTAAAAAAATAATTTATTTATAATTAGTAGGGACAAACAGGGAATAATGAATGCGCGTGAGAGTACGTACAAGAGCGCGTATCCCAATGAGGACAGAATTTTGATGATAATTCCTTCTTTTTGCAGTTTGCAGCGCACAGACTCGGAATTTTTTTATTTTTTAATAAATAAATAAGTTGGATATTCTTTCCTTGGTGTGGGTCCCACGTAAGGGAACTGCCCAGTCACTGCTGCCATTTTAGTAAATGCGTTTTGTCGTCCCCCATCCCCGCAGTCTACAACTTTTATATTTAATTATTCTTTAGGGACCTCATTGCAAATTTTTACATTCTACAGCCACGTATAATTATTATCATATAGTTTTTAATATTCAAAATGTAAATTTAATTATACCATGTTTATCATATAATTTTCTTTTTTAATTAAAATATATTCATATCATTTTATTATTATTATTATTTAATGACAATCTAATCTGTTAATAGACAGCAAACCTACACAATGGGTATATTCATTTAAAATCATACTGTAGTTTTTTTATTAAAAACATAAAAGAAAAGTTGCTAAAATTTGTAAAAAAAACTACAATTAGCCGTTTAATCATGAAAATAGTAGCCTTTTATAGACTGAACTTAAAGTAATATTCTTATAATTAACATGATAAGTTGATGTTATGAGAATAATTTGTTCTTCCAAATACCAAATGGCAATTCACTTTCATTACTTTCCATTGCTCATGATTTCTTGGTTCCTATTGGTATGAAAATCTCCCTAAAAAGATTTGGAGGGATATTACATTTGCAAGTTTTATAAGCAATAAATGCAACAATGGTATTTATAAAGAATGATGAGCAAGCTTTATGGTGATTCTCCCTTTTTTGGCAGAAACCTTTAAGAATCATCAAGGCCAAGGGGTATGGAAAATTCACTTTTGTTATTTCTATCTTCAAGAACTTTCTTGAACTTTATACATACCAAGCAATCTCAATAAAAAACTAAGTGTCAAGGAGAGAAAAAAAAAAGGTAGTGAAAGATTATTTTTGAAACATTCCATTAGTATATACAACTAAAAGTGTGGCTAGTCTTTTAAAAAAAAAATTATAAGGCGAGTGAATCTTTTTGTAAGAAGAAAAAAATACGAGGTTAGACTTAAAAAAAATGTTGAATTTGTTCGAAATAAAGTACGAGTTATGTTTAAATAAAATTTTAAATTATAATTTTTGTGGTAGCTATGGAGAGCTTTAAGCTTGCTCGAGAGAAGAAGGAATTAGGAAATTTATCCTTAAAATTGATTATTTCTTCATTTGACAAATTCTTCAAAAAAGGACAAACTTTTATGTTTTTGCCTTAGACTCCGAGACTAAGCTCAAGATATTTTGAGCAAATATTGAAAAATTCAGATAATTTATATTTTTTTGTGAAAGTGAATGGTTATACAAATTATATTATTATATATACGTACTATTATTCTCAAAACATCATTTGGCTTACAAAATTCCTTAATCATGTCCTCTATTTGTTTGTTAAATGAATATAGATAAATAATTTAATATAGTTTTTTTTTTTTTTTTGTAAAATTTTTATTTTGAATATAATTTAAAATTTAAAAATATATATAGCTAGGTCAAATTATCATTCTAATGTTCAAAGTATGAATTATATTTACATCTAGCTTTTCAAATTCTAATTTGACAACTTAAGTTAGAAAATTGGTTTAAAATATATATATTTTAAATAAATTTATACAAAAATTCCTTATGTATTTTCATATTTTGCTTGTAATAAAGTTTGAAGTACTACTAAACTACGTAGATTATTATTATTATAAATTATAAAGTAAGAAGATATATGCAAGAATGAATTTTTATATTTTAATTTTTGAAGTAATTTATCAAATTGTTCCCCAAACGTCTTGCATTTTGACTAGATATATAGAAATTTAATTCTATTTCTCCATAAAGTTGTTAGATTGTGTTGAAACTTATTATATTCTCATTTAATTTATTAACATTAATTATTTAATACGTAGAAAACGGATATAATTACATAATTTGATGTTCAACTGAATTAAACTTACTTTATATAATAATAACTAATTATTACATTTAAAATGCCAAAAAATAATATAAAACACGTAGTACAGATTTTTCATTTTCTGAAAAAGACCCAAAACATACAATACCCTGAAATGCAAATTTAAATTATTTATTATTATTATTATTATTTGTGAGAAAAAGAGGTCTCAGGGGGCCTATGCAAGCTTGGCCTCGTAGCTTTTGATTCTTCAACACAGATTTTACACGCCATCTGCCATCCACCACATCATAATTTCCTTTACAATAAAACATTTTTCCCCTTGGATTATTCAACCAATAATAATATTAAATTCTGAATATATTAATTAAACATGTTGAAACATAATTTAATTTAATTTATTAAAATATTTTCAGGAGTTTAATTACTTAATTAATTGATTAAAAATGATAAAACGTATTACCCTCAATAGTCGGCACCGTCCCTCCACAAAAACGTACCCCGTCTGACGTAAATAATAATAATAAATTAATTTTAATTTGATTTTCATAAGTTGCTTAATTTTATACTCCAAAAAGAAAAAATCCATCTACGGAAACTCAATTTCATTTATCCAACTCCCTCCACTTACGTTCTACTGCTTCTCACCATCTGCACCGTTGATTTTCCTCGAGATGAGCGAAATCTAAATCGACGGTGGAGATCTGTGCATGGGGTATTTTCTTCATTAATATTTTAACTTGTCTTGTTTTGGTTTCGTCTTTCGTTTCTCTCCCGCTGTAGTTGACTTGTTTGGTTTGACGACGGGAGGCCACACCCTGACTTTCTTGCAATTTTTGAGTTATCGGGTTTTGACCAATTTCTCATGCCGTGTCTAACGTTTAACGCTAACGTGCGCACCCCCACATCGTACGTAAAACAAACGCCCACGCGTTTCATCACTCGTGTTCCCCACACGCTGTCCGTAAAATCCGAGACTGACTGCCGTTAAAAGTAATTGACATCGTACAAAACACTGTTATTAACATATTGTATATGACCTATCTTCACTGGCACATAAAATAAAACCAGTCCACGTACTAATTACGAATTAAGAATATTAATGATAATTAAGGATTATGTTATGTATATTTTTTGTGGGATTTCTTATATAACAAATATAATTATATAAAAATAAGAGAAAATGAAGAAAACAAAAGGGGAGAAAAATCCAAAAAATTGATGGAAGTACAAGGTGACTTTTTTTTTTTTTTTTTTTTATCTTTCTTTTATTTGTGGAAAACATGTATTTTGTAGGGGGGGGGGGGGGGGGTAATATTTCTTATTTAAGGTGTAGCAAGGGAAGGGTAAAAAATGAGAGAGAGTGGATAATAAAGGCAAATACGGAGATACATAAGTACTTAATTAGAAGGGTGAAACCGTCAATTTAGTAAAAATAGAGGGACAAAATCGTCAACGAAGAAAGAATGCTTCTATTATGGGAGTAGAGTCAAAAGGATGGCCAAACAGCGTCTTTCATTAAGGAAATAAAATCCCAAAAACAAAAATGTTCTATGGCCCTTTTTGTGATCATGACGACGTTGGCAGTATATTATTATTATTATAAAGACTCTATTATTATTATTATTTATATATATATATATACACACTTCAACTTCAACATATACATGATATATGTATGTATGTATATATGTGTAAGAGAGAGAGAAGAAGAGCGAAACAACAAAGGTCAAAGGAAGGCAGTTGGGGTATTGTATAGGGGTAATGATTTTTTGGTGGAGGAGGATCAGAAACTCGTGATGAGAATTTTTCTCTTTTGAAAATCTTTTCTCTCTCTCTCTCTCTTTTCTGCACAGAGTTTTTATGTGGAAACAGAAGAAAGCAGCAGCAGGCAGGTATTATCAGTGCCCCTTAAGGAATTTACAGCTTCGTCTCTTCCTTTTCTCGTGATCTTTCTCTTTCCATCCATACGCTCTCTTTCTCTTCTCTCCCTTTCTTATACCCCTTATATTTATACACTACATATTCATTGCTGTCGAGCCATCTGGCCTGCGCTCTATTGTTGGTTTTTATCAAACACAGTTCCAGAAAAGATTGAAGGGAGAGGGAGGCAGATAAAAAGGAGAGACTTGTTTTTTAGATGTGTGAATATCAAAAGGGAAACACGACGACGTTTTAGTTGGTAGCGAAAATTGTTTGCGGTGGAGATGGGGAGTTGTGGAAGGAGTAGTGGTGCAGTGAGACAGTACGTAAGATCAAAGGTTCCTCGTTTGAGATGGACTCCTGAGCTTCATCACTGTTTTGTTCATGCCATCGACAGGCTTGGTGGTCAAGACAGTGAGTCTTTTCTTTCTTTTTTCGTTTTGTTTTGTTCGTTTCTGCTGCTCTCTTTCTCTCTTTTTTAACTTTTTTGTTTGGTTTGGTCTGTTTGATCTTATGATTTTGAAACTTACCAATCTTTTTGTTGTCGGATTTATAGAAGCCACGCCTAAACTTGTTCTTCAGCTGATGGATGTGAAAGGACTTACCATTTCACATGTCAAGAGCCATCTCCAGGTTTCCCTCCTTTTCACTTTATATTCTTTGATTTCTTCCTCTATCCATGACTTGGGTATTTTTATTTCTATAACAATAATAATATTATTATTATTCTTCTTTGATTCGATCATTCGGTTTACATGGTTATTGTCCCTTTTGTTCTTTGTATCCAGATGTACAGAAGCATGAGGAGTGACCTAGGCAGACCAGGTATCCATCCATCTAGAGCTTTTCCATCCCACTTGTATTTTTGTTAAGCTGTTTTTTTTTTGTTTTTTTTCCTTAATGTTCCCTTATTACATATAGCATGGTGTCGTTTTGTATGTTTTTCAAGATGAAACTGCTACTTGAGTCTCCCACTCCATCTTTTTTCTGCACAGCATTTAATACAGGCTTCCTGTTATACTTTCCTCTAATGGGTTCTTATCCAACTTTGAAAACCAAATATTGTAAACCCACATCTTAAGATATCTTTTGGAAAATGAATAGCTCACTTCATTTATTATCTCATTCTTCTTACATATATATATATATATATATATATACACAATAGTATACGTATATATCATATCCCTATCTGATGTACCAAAATAGATGATAACAAATGTTAAACAGTATCTCTTAAAATCTTCTAATATTAGCATTTCTTATGAAACCCACGACCACTTTGCTACCGTTGCTTTTCAAAACTTTATTATTCATTTTTTCTTTTTCCATAAAGTCATGTTAATTCCCAAAGCCTCTACCCTTCTCTACCCTTTTTTCTTTCTCTTTTTTGTCTAATAAAGATAGCATCCATACAGACACACACACACACACACATACACATATATACTTCTGGAATCATAAGAGAAAAGCTTCTGCGCAAAGTTTGGTACATTAATATTGTTGTGTGCATGTGGGTGTTGGTTTGTGTTGGACAGGTAGGAGTTCCACCCATCAAAGAAGACAATCTTTTGAGGAACATGATGGTTGTGTTGATGAAGTAAATGATATGGGTTTTCCCCCTTCTTCAAAACCCATTCAAGAATCAGATTCTCTCTTCACGTACAGTACCAATACTCTTCCTTCAAAAAGGTCAGCATATAGCTTTGCACACCCTATATGTATCGTCTCATGTGGATGCATAGACTTTTTCAAATATCAAAAGAAAAAAAAAAGAAAAAGTTGTGGTGGTGTAGTGCAAGAAACAAACAAAAAAAGATTTGGCCTGCATGATCTTTTTCTTTTCAGTACTCTCTCTCTCTCTCTTTTCCTTTTCTATAGCATCTATCTCTATATATATTGATATTCTTTTTGTTTTGGGGTTGGGGTTTGTGAATATGATCAGAGGTAGAATCGAGAGCAGGAGTTCAATCTCTGATCAGAACCTGCAATGCAGCCAAGGAATATGTGAAGCAGTCTCAAATCCGTACTCTTTTGATGATTATCTGCAGAACGTGGGTGAGCCTAAGCGAATAAAGGAAGGCAGTAGCAGAAGGGAACAGCTCCATGCTTGCCCCTTCTCTCTGCCGCATGATCTTCATAACCTCACTTCCTTCACTTGCAAAATGGACGATTCTGATTGCCTCAAGGTATATAATATAAACTTCCAAAATCAAGTATCTTATAAATCTCTGTTTATTTTGCCAGCTTTTCTTTTTTGGTTCTAGGGTTGAGTGTTATATTGGGTTTGGATTTGATCAACTTTCAGCTGGTGGGTAACTTCTTTCTAGTTTCCAGACAAACGCCTCTTTTAACCAGCGGGTGCATGGAATATTTATCCTTTTATCTCTACTCTTGCGTCACCTGTGTCAGCGAGTTTTCACTTCTCAACTTATATAAACCCATTTCAGTTTCCTTTAATCTTTTCCTTTTTTTTTTTTCTTTTTTTAAAAAAATTCTCGCATTGAAAACCGCTCCTTTTCGTTTACTACCTTTTTTGGATCTTGCTGCATTACTTTTGAAATTTCCATTTTTTCTTTCCTTCACCGAAAAAAGAACCCAGCTTGATCAGCTCCCATAACAATGCCTTCTTTTAATTTTATGATTATATATGCAAAAATAATCTTGTAAAACTATATACAATTTGTGGTCCAGTGTATAATATTGAATAAATGGGGGGACCTTAAATTGAGGAGGGTGGGTCAAATTGTAAAATAAATCCAAACTGGCCTTTTTACTACTTTTAGCAGATGATCTGTGTAAACAACAGTGTTAATTTACAATTTACAGGCCATTATGAAGAGTCTTACGTACTACACATAATTCTTGATCAGCAGGGAAAACATTAATGGTGGATAAATTATTTCTTCCTGAATCATCTGAAAAACTTTGAATGACATGTAATAAATTTCATAATGTATCCTCCTTGTATTAATTTCTTCAAACTTAGACTTTTAGTTGAGTAGACTAGCATGTACCAAAATTTACCATGTCATGTAATCCTTTATAGTAAAAAATAAATCACCATTAGTTTAACTATTCTTTACCGACGGGTTATGATCAGGTTTCCAAGTTATATGAGGAACAAAAGCGAAGTAGAGAAGAAACGTATTGCAAATCCAAGAAGCCTAAAAGGCATCATCAAGAAGAAGGTGGTGGGTGTGAACTATCACTGTCTCTATCACTGCACTGTCCATGGTCTCAAAGAAGTATTGCATCAGCGACAAGCGAAATCAGTGAGGCAATTTCATCGTGCTCGGGATCATCATCAGCTGAGCAGCGCAGTATTAACTTGGACTTGTCTATTGCTCTATGTGGTTCTTAGTTACCTAAATTTGATTTGTTGTTATCAATGGTTTCATCCTATGGGTTCAATGATGAGTACATGTTTTAAATTTAAAAGAAAATGTCGGCATCTACATATCTTGTTTTAGTTGGTTTGTGTATGTTTGGCCATTGTTAAAAGTTAAAAGAAAAACCCACTTTTGTCTAGAGCTGGATTTAGGGTTCCAGCTTTCTGGTTTAGAATGTACAACCATGAAACTTTAAGAGATGTAATCAAAAGTTTAGTCAAATTTATATCGGGATTAATGCTAGGTCGTGGTGGTTAAAATAAATTCTGCAAGTAGCATTCAGGAAGAATAATTTTTTCATTATCTTTTATTGTTGCTAATGGCTATCTGTATGTAAAGATTAATGGTGGAAATACAACTTTGTAATACAGCATTTTGTAAAGCACCCAGATTCTTGTGATTGAGTCTGAAGATCCCTAAGAGATTTATTTGAAAGCTTAGGAAGTATTTTCTCTCACATATATGTTATCCGCATATACCAAGAGGAATACATAAATCATTTAGTGTTATATACAAACAAAGAAGTGTCTGTCTTGGTAGAATGAAATGGAAGTTAATCAAGAAACTACTTAATTACACAGAGACTTGGTGCTTATGGAGATTGCTTTATTTTTATGCATAGTCTCAGGACATTCTTTGAAACAAATATAGATTTAGGCTCTGAAATAGCATAGAAGGGCGAAGTTTCATCAATTTGTGCTGGAAAGTGAAAACATTTTGGAAGTACAATAAGTTATACCAACAATTTTGGAGGTCAACTTTGGGGTGGATGAGCTTTACGAGACAATAGCCTTGTTATATACTGGGGAAATTTAAATTTTTCTTTTTCTTTTTTTTTTTTTATATCACACATGAATGCATGAACTTTTTATGAAAAATTTTATTTACTAAAATAAATTAAACTTAGATATGTATTTAACACCATGCATTAAGATGGTATACAATTGCTTTTAAATATTGGATAATCTCTACTGAGTCTCAGAAGTGTAATTCTCCAAACCCAAGCACCAACTGCTGCTGATTTTTAAAAGCTCAAGCACAAATACTAAGTTATTAATAATCTCTAACACTTGAGTTGTTATATAAAGTTTAATAATCACATATATACATATATATTTTTTTTATACAAAGTTGTTATATTATAATTTTTACTGTTCGGATTTTTGATATTCTCATTAAAATTATATATCACAATCACAAATTATAATTTGAACATTTATAAGGTACAAAATATATCAATTCGGAGTCATTAAGTTGATGCGTGCTCTGATATTATTCATAACACTCAAAGTCTAAATATTTTTAGTATAACAGTTTTTTAAATCCAAAGTACTAGTAATGTAAGTTCAAATTCAAATAATTAGTAGTTTATAACTTATTCTTTATTCGAAATTTAACAATCATGTACTTTTATAAGATTAGATTAGAGTGTCATATGTAATAAAATTAACCCTAATATTTCTCTTAAGAACACTTATTAATTTTGAGTAATTGAAACTAAAGTGTTGCTAGAGCTATCAACAGCTTATTTATAGGCAAAAAAAAAAAAAAAAGGATTTTAAGATGAGATAGAAACGAGAAAAACTCCCTTCCATCATATGCCATGACTGATTGGTGTGGGAGAAGAAATTTCATCGAGGCCGATGCCATTATGGCTTTAAGGGGCAAAGGCTCATCTTCAACTTAAAATTAAGAGATTAATTAATTAGCTAAAAATCATCAAAATTGTGATTAATCACTTAACGATAGATTAAATAAAATTAGCTTAAGATATGAAGTCTTTAAAAACCTTAGCAATCAAAATACATGTACATTCATAATTTGCAAAATGCTCTTTTTATTGGGCCTTTAAAGTTATATGCATTTTGCGACATGAGTCCATAAAAGGAGGTACTTGGGTGGGAGCTTCAGATTGAGGACTGTGCTTAATTAATTAATCAATCTGTATGACCATCTAGTTTATTATGTATTAAGGTGCGTAAGTGTTTAATCAATCATTTATTAAAATATTAAGGCTAAGCTCAAACTTAATTCTAATTAAACCCTTTAATAATGTTAATTGGACATATAAATGCCCTATGTTTGGTTAAAGTCTTTTAAAACTAGTTTGATTTGGAAAACCAGTTAATCACATTAATTATTTTTCAGAACCATCTAGAAGAGTATTAATTTTCTACTCGGCTAATTACCAAGGTTTCAGTGTGTGACTCATTTAACTTCAATTGTTTAATTAGTAATAAATTTATCAATTTCGCTCTAATTGACTTCAGCATTATTACATTGATCACATTAATTACAAATCCAAACCAAGACACATGATATCCTACTAAAAAAATAATTCAATATAATAATTACTATTTAGATTCTTGCTCTCAACACATTGTAAAAATTTCGTAAGGACAAGGTAATGGGGCAAAGCAAGTGGGGGACGAAGATCAGAGAACTCAATAAGCATTAAAGGATCTGGCTTGGCTCCTGCTCCACCCATATTGCCCACGACAGCGCCATTACAGTGAAGGAGTTGAGGGGAACTGTTTTGGGTCGTGGTTGACCAGAAGAGAGTTTGTGCAAGTCAATGAAAGCTCTTGAATGATGGACCAGAACTATGAGGTGCTGGAAATGATTTTTCAAGCTCAAGGTTACAGTTTTTATGAAAAATAAAAATTGTAAATAAAGAAAGTTTATATCTAAGAATTGATTTTTATGTAAAAAAATTAATCCCAAATTACAAATTCTTAATATCTTCCATACTTGTTTATGAATGCTAAAATTTAAGAATAAAAAGAATTAACCGAATAATTAAACATTTTGTTAATTACTATTGTACTTGACTATTTATTGGTAATATTTAAAAAGAGTTTGATAGATTAAAAGATTTAAAAAAAAAAAAAAAAAGGAGCACATAAGCAAATATTGTTTTAAAATATTGTTTTAAGTTGTTGAATTTAAAAATTAACCTAATTATGATTATAGTCAAGTACAAAAATCCTCTATGTAATTTAAATAAGTAATATTATAAAAATTAAAAAAAAAAAGAAATAAAAAACTAACCAAAATGTTTACCATAATAATATCTTACAATTAATAAAACAAGTTGAAATCAATTAGTAGCTCAAGACCACACCTCTTACTACTGCAACCAAGTATTCAGATGGTTTCATCAGTGCTAATCAACAGACTTTCAGTTTCATGCGGATCATTTTCCCAGTTGCTCTAGCAATGTCCAAACTTCCAGTCCAAGTAAACATTCATCCCTAATAATCTCAATCTCAGACCCAGTATGGACAAAGTGAATCCAGTCCATTTCAATGGCTTCGAAATGTCTTGTTTGCTAGCTGCATAAATGGAGTCTCAATATCCATAAAACAAAAATCAACATCATTAATCCTTTTTTCACAAAAACCAGGCATGATCAAGCTAGATAACGACATGGATTAACGAAGAATTTCAAGAACAGAAGGCCATATAACAGGCATCAGATTCTCATCTCAAAATCTTATATTACCATATGTTGGACTCAGATACTCGTCAAAATCTCTCTCTCAACTCTTTCCGTTTCTTGCTTTGACATCAGAAACCAATGGCTTGACGCAGAGTCGTGGCTTGGTACTGACAAGGTTTTGTGGAAGAACGGAGACAGCCACCACTACTGATCCAGTAGATACTCCAGAAATAGGTAGTAGCTCCACGAGAACACAGAGCTGTATGATTTGTTAAAATAATCAAACCAGGCCTGCAAACTGAAGGAAACATAACTAAGTTCATAAAGACCAAGGATTCTATACCTCTGGAGATTTGAGATCCACAACCGAATCTGACAAAGAATCTTTAATGGCAGAAGCCACAACTTCAAAGCATTTGTTGCGGTTCAGCAGAGCAGATTTCTCCAAATCCTTTGAACTTTTCATCTGACCCTCCTCAATCCCTCTTCTGTTATACCCAACTGCAAACTATAATGTTAAGTGTCAGTAAGAAAAACTTCCATGTTCGTATCCAAATAAATATTGGATATTTCTGGAATCAACACAGGTATTTGGGTACACAAACACATATTTTCACAGCACACAAAGGGAGAAAAGAAAAAAGTCACTTGAGGTGGTGTATGATAAATCAATTCTGCACCTTTACAGGCCTTAACATCTTGTTCTGCTTATCATTCACAAATTCAAGAACACATTTTGACACAGTTGCCTTCAATTCCTTCTCGTTCAGATTGCACGTGGCTTGGATAGGAAAAATTCGATGACACCAACTGCATCAACAACATGTCATTTAATTAAGAAATTTGTAGAGACAACAGAAGACATTTACGGGGCACATGAAAGCAAGTATAGAGAAAAAAATGCTATTAATAAGTAGCATATCCCCAGAAATCATGTGACCTAAGGTTTAGCATAGAATTATAGGTATTGTAGATCAATTAGACATAAAGGGTTACAATAAAAAAGAAAGGTGATATCTCTATTAACATTACCAAAAGGTCCAAGGAAAATATCCAAGAAAATTTTACCATAAAAAAGGAGAGATTAGTAATGCCTACACTGCAAACATGTGTATCAGATGATCAATTGATCTATAAATATGATAAGTAACAATCGTACTAACTATTAGGATTAACAATAATAACTGGGCTGCTGTAATCTAAAAAGAAAAAGAAGATTCTTAACCTAGCATTGGCCCAAAAATATAATTTTGTAGAACTAAATATGCTTAGAGTAGCCAAAATCATGCCTATTTATTGCGTCCAATACGCATTGTCATGTCCACGCCTACAGACCTAAGAGAGAACACTTGTTCACTTGAAAATCTCCAAAATATAAAGAGCTATAGAAACTTAATTGATTGATATATTCTATGTAACATACCTCATTCTATCTTTTTGTAATGGATTCCAAGAAGAGGATGGCTAAACAAACAACTTAAACTAGACGCATCACATATGAAGTTGGTTCGCTTCACCAGAAAACAAAATAGTCTCTCTCATACAAGTAGAAAGCACCAAGAATCTTACACAAGGAAGAGACAGGTCACTTTATCACAAGAGCATTCATGCAAGATCGTGCTTAGAACGAATATATATATATCTATATTCGTTCAGTCAATGCTTCAAACTGAAGCCGTGAGATCATTAAGAACTAAGAAGAGATACGTTCAGTCAATAGGTGGTGGAAAATTAATTACTAAGAATGTTAGAACTTTTTAGAAAATAGAAAAAGAAGAAACGGGAACTTACAAGATATGAAAGAAAACATTTTATGTTAAATGATATTAGTCGCAGCTGTGAGCAAAAAAGATGCAAAGAGAAAAACTTACAGTGGTGACTTTAAACACCCAGATTCCATAGACTGAAAAATATTTGATAAAATATCTACAGTATCAGGAGAATTTTCTGAGGGGAAGGTCAAGAGAAGCAAACCACTCCCTGTAAGCTTAACTAGTGAAAGGAGAAAATCTCTCTCTGTATTTGTATTTTTGTTGGAAGATGCAAGAGAATCATCTTCTGAAATTTCTCCTACTATCATAGCACACAAGCAATATAAGCAAAGGATAGAAACCATTTCCTCAACAAATACACAAATTTTCAGATTATTGCAGAATATTTACCTGCTTCCTCAGCAGAGACCTCGCTTTTGATGCCATTGGCAGATTTTCCATCCATCTCATCTGTGCATAATTTCCTTTTCTTAGCTGACAAAGTTGTGTCAGAGCTTTCTGAACTTTTAGAATTGTCATCATTTAAAGATCCAAATCCAACATACTGCATAAGATGTAGAGTGACCAAGAATGTTGATCAACATTAGCAAGGTACATACCAAAGATGCGAATACCAGAATCACAGTAAAGATGAACACAACTAAAGAAAGTAGACAAGGTCAAGTGGGAATTACCTTTCCAAGTATAGACATGGCCTCTTTCGTTGCACTCTTTTCTCTCTCTGGCAAGAACATCAAAATTCATGTTGTGTGTATGCATAAATATGGAATGATATGCTACGGTGGAAGAAATCATCAATTCTTTTGAAATCCATTTAGAAATTATGAAATGGTTTAACTATGAGGATACAAATTCTATTACAAACGGATGAAAATTGACACCTAAAAAGTATTCTAACTAAAATAAAAACTAGACATTTCAAATTCTGTAGTTAATTCTCAAAATGTTATCCTCATATGATGTAAATTCTATAGTTTCATAGTTAACCAGAAGAAAAGTTTGTTTGATGCAAATACAACTTATTACTCATTTTCCACAACGACAATGAAATTAAACCTATATTCTGAAAAAAAAAAGGTAGCGCTTTCCGTTGGCAGAAAAATTTTAAAACAAAAAATACAAAATTCATCCTGCTAAGGAAGTTAAAAAATTAAAAATAAACGAAAAAGACAGATGATGGTGAAAAAAGAAGAAAAAAAAAAAAAAGAGAGAATCTCACTGATTGTGCAGGTGATGAGGAAGCCAGAGTGAGAGCGTTGAAGGAGGTAAGAAGGTGCGTTGTAATCAAAGCGAGGAATGCTTATAACGGAGGCGTGCTGCTCCCATGGGGTCATGGTTTTCGTTTCTTCTTCTACTTCTTCTTCTTCTTTATTCGATGGCGTCATCGATTCGTTTTTCGATTCTCTTCCCGGGTCTTTCACTTCTTCTTCCGCCATTGTTGTTTACTGGTTGCTCTTCAGTTGTCGGGTGGTTTTGGATTGGAAAAGGGAAAGCCCTAACGGAAGTATGTACAAGGGAGTTACAGACGGAGAACTGGAGACGAGAGGCAGACGAGAGAGAGTTTGTTAGGGAGTGTCTAAAACGACTCCGTATTTTCAGCTTGGATGTGCTCCTGTCCCCAGTTTCATTTCAAATTCAATTCAATTATTATTATTATTAATTTTTGAGGACCAAAAATCAAACCTTCACAATTAGGAACATACAATTTATAGGGTCAAAATAAATAACTAAGTAAATCAAATAAAATAATGCAAAAATATTATTTTATTTATTTTTAAAATATTATTTACAAAAATAAATTCAAATAGTTGAAATGTAACATGTGAACTTTTTTTTATTTTTTTATAAATAGATAACTTAAATTAAAATTGTTATGTACATACAAAAATTAGTTCGTTTGGAGAAAAAAGAGTGCTAATTTCTTTGCTATTTAGTTTGGACTTATTTATTTATTGTAGAAAGAACATGAAGATTTTTGCAATTCATTCTCCATTCTCTCATCAAATAAAAACAACTCCCCCTTTAACCTGCTCTATTCATCTTCTCCACCATAAATAACACCTTTTTTCTAGCGAATATAACTGACTGGAAAGACACATTCATTGCCAAGGGATATATATATATATATGTAAACACAGAGGAAAAAGAAAGACACTTCTTTCATGTGTTATAAAATGGGGGAAGAAGAATATGCGTTTCCTTGAAAATATTTGGAAGCAGATGGGTTTAATTTAGAAAATATGGTGGTGTCCGTATGTTTTGAAAAGTTTGAAAAGAAGACGGGTTTGCCGGTTGCAGGCACCCAAGTTTTTAAAAAGACAGGAGAATTCCAAGATTATCTTTAAATTAAGAAAAAAAAAAAAAAAAAAAAAAAAGGCAGAAGATGGGTTTAAAGACCTTAAAACGAGAGGTGCTCCAAATACTAAAAAGATGGAAATATGAACACATAAGTGGGGGGGTAACAAGAGGACCGCAGCAGACATCCTATACCAATTTTAGCAACACTATACATATGCAATATACTCTGTCACAGTTCATGATTGGTCAGTCTAGAAATTACCATGAAAGCAGTCTATGATATCAAGAAATCTCTCTCCCGTCTCAATTCTCACATTTCAACAAAGAACTTAACAAGTCTTAGCTCAACTTTGATATCAACATGCATCAATCCAATGTACTATTTCAGTTATTTCAGAAGTCATCCGGTAAGTGCAATCACAATCAAAACTGTTTCAATTTCATCACGTCCCCCGAACTCCAATAGCTATATATTTTTTCTACTTTTTCTCCATTAATACCAATTTATATGGTAGCAAGTCAACAAAAATCCACAATCTTCTATCCTTGTCCCTTGCTCAAGATCAACCATTTTCATTGTCGAGAGAGGAATAGAATGGGGCATTGGTTTCGGCTGGGAGGAAAATCAACATAGGACATGACCCGATTAGATCACCGATGCCCATCAAAACCAAAAGCTCAACTTCTTATTCTGCTTGTGAGTGAAAACTTTCTAAATGTTAACATGTATAAGGCCCTTCAGGCTAGGGATCCTCGGTCAATGATTTTCTCTAGAGAATCAGAATTGTGTAGAGAGCTAAGACTGGAAATAAGATGACAGAGATGGAGACCATTGTGTGAGCAAAGATTACAATACAAGTAAATTAGATGCATGCTATGTTAAACAAGAAGTCTTAGAGTTTAAAATATTGAAAGCAAACATACAAATAACTGCTTTACTTTTACCTGCAGTTCTGTGGGACTCTCCAGGACAATAGTGACAATCTTTTCAATGGTGGAGGCAGAGACATAAAATTTCTCCAGTCCTGAAGCATGATTCTAAGATCATGAAGCTTGCTGTCCATACCAATACAGCAATTAGCATGCATTGTACAAACCAGATTCAAATTTCTGCTAGGTTCACAAAGCCCACCAAAATAAGCAGTATCAAGGAATCTCATCTTCAGCCCAATACTTAAAATGAATGGATCAGCTTTGATATAGTTAAGAACATCTTGATCATGAAGGCCAGGATACACTTCACGTGAAGCATACCAGAATTTGTAAAATTCTATGGAACGATTGTTAGATTTCACATAGTTAAAACCCCCATTTGGTCGATTATGTAAATCATCGGATCTCCCTAAGAAGTGATCACAGGCAATCTGGAAATCTGCATCCAAATAAAACTGTGGAAATGGATCCCTGAACCACATGACATCAGCATCCTGGAGGAAGAAAGAAACCAACCAAAAGGTAAGTGACGACAAGCACAATATTACTTCACAAGGCAGAACAGACTCTGATAAGATCTATGCAAGCATATCTAGTCTACATATAAACTGCTTTAGAAAATCATGATCAATATTTTTGTCATTAATGCTTATCTCTTAACATGTTCTAACATGAAAACTAAACTGAAAATCAGGCAATATTCAGTACAGAGGACAACTTGAAGGCTAAAAAATCTGAACTCTATTCTTGTCAGCTTAGGAACAAATTTAACTGTTCATTTATATCATGATAGCAGATAGATAATCTTTTCTTAGTTACATTGTAATCAATCTAAGGTGCATTGACTTCTAACATTCACGGATGAAAGTTAATTTATAGCTATAATCTCTCGGTTATTTTGATTGTGTAATGGCTTATATCTCTGTCAAAAGAAATCTCTTTACCAGTTTACAAGCCCTGGATAACTTGATACTGTTTTTTATTTAGGGAATGGGTATTACGAGGACCCCTTCTCCTCTAGTATCCAGGGCAAAATGATTCTAACTTCTTGTCTATAAAAAGTCCAAAATTATAAAGTGATGAGCAAGTTTCAGTAGATAGGCCTAGTGATGGCTAGTAGCATATCTAACAGTTACTAACTTTGTTTGAGTGGATGAGCAAGTTTTTGGTAGATAGGAGAAAAAAAACTCAAGAATCTCCAATTTACAAAAGAATAAAACAAACTTAGCAACAATGGCAGAGAGTTGAAAAGGTCATCCAAGTAATAAAATTAATAATTGTGAACAGTATGTTTGTTCACTACTGAATCAAGGACAGAAAGAAAAAGAAAGAAATTACTGTGAAGACAAAATTGTAACCCATTTCGAGAACAGAACGCAGGAAATCAATTCTCCTCCACATCATCTTCAAATAGGAAGGGGTCATAAAGTATGCCTCCTGATGAAAATCAACTCCTTCAGTGACTACAGCATAGCAATAGTTATGTAAGAGCCGACATCGGGTAAATGCCTTTTGATCCAGGGCAATGATAACCAAGTGGTTCAAAAGCCTGCGAGTTCCATCTCCAACCCTGAAGCTTTCAAGGAAAAGATCAAGTATTGAACTTGGAGCTGCCCACGCTTCATTCAAGGTTGTCAAAATAACAGTCCCGTCCTTCATGGCAGCATTGCTAAGGATATTTTGAAGCTTGTTTTCCTCGTTAGCCTACATAGTTTTAATAGGAGAAGTAGCTAAACAATTAGTTATTCAACATGAATAAGAAAGTTCGAAAGGTTAAATGAACAAAGAAGATTATATTTGCCAACTTATTTTCTAACTAAGCCCAGAAAACCTAAATCAAAACTATTTATTACGTAGACACTTGACAGCAATCCTTCAACTGTTGAACTCAGATATTCAAGAATCCGTATTGGAATCTCCACTGAATCGGCTAAAACTATCCATTTTCCTAACAATGCCGACTTTAATTTTAAAGCTCGAACCGAAATTATCATCGCTATATCTGTTGATTAATTGAATCTCAGGGGGAGATAACAAAACAAGCATAATTAATTAAAAATAAAAAACTACTAGAGAATGAATCAGGAAACTTACCGGAGAGGAAGAGTAATCATCGAAGAGAGAAGGGAAAATGTAGGGGAGGAAACGAGAGGAAGAGGAGGGATGCCGGAGGAATTGGAGGGAATCAGCTGCCCTGTAAAGCAAGAAACAGGAGAAACAAACAGCGGCAAGGAAAATAACAAGGCGGGGAAGGAGAGAAGATGAAGGGGACATGGCGGAGGCGAAATTAGCAGCGGCGGAGGACAAGCGGTAGCGCCTCCGTTCGAATTTGGGATGTAGGCGGCGAGGAAAGCCCATCCATCCCTGAAGGGTATTATCGGAGGACGGAGACGGAGGTGGCGGTTGTCTTCCTGTCGAAACAAGGTTCTCCGTCGTATACGGTGTTTTAGTTGAGAGACATTTCGGGACTGTGATTGACAGAGAAGCGTGATGATGGAATTTGTTGGGGGGGGATATAAAAATCTCAGTTAACAAAATATTAATAATTAATTAGTTAATTAATTAAAATGTAATCTTGTCCTAATCCTTGAAGGATAATGCCTTTGGTTTGGCCTACTTGAAATTGTCGGCGGAACAACGTGCGTTTTTCTTTTCTTTTTAACTCTTAGTTTGGTTCTTAATTTTGTAACTAAGTTTATTATTTTTTAATCTAATTTGTATATTAGAATAAACGAATTTTAAATATATCCTACCGTGTAAAGTTATGTCATCAGAAAATTAATAATATTAGGTATAATGAATCTAAGGTAAAATTAAAATAAATTATATTTATGTGGTCTAGATGGATAATAAAGAATAAATAAAACTCTTAAGAGATACTTTTTGATAAATTAAATTTAGATATTTTAAAATTAAATATGATTTAAAATAAAATATACTGATTCACATGTCGACAACATGATATAACAGAAAGAGTTAAACATTTCCAAATTTTTGCTTATTTTAATATTTAAATTTATAAAATAAATGTTTAAAAATTGCAAGAGCTGAAACTTTTTTTAAAAAAATAACAATTAAAAGTGTAAAGTGTATCATCAATCATATGCATTAAATGGGTACAAAAAGGAATTTACATATCAATTAGTTTATTTAAATTCTCCATAAAATACAGATGTTAATTAATAATTAAAACTTTTAAATATTAAAATTATCTCTTTTTAATTTTATCAATACTCTTTATTACTTCTTTAAAAATTCTCATATCTCTTTTCTTTCGCGCAATTTAAAATAAGCTTTAAATATATATATTTTTTTAATTTGTGATGTCTTTTCAAGCTTAAAATTTATTATTAATAATACCTACACTGATCCTATTATATTACAAATTTTCAAAAATCATAAATTATAAACTATATGTAATGGACACTGAAATAGAATGCGATTGTGTATTTCCTCCATTCTCTTACATAAACAATATTAGTTCACATAATATTTATTTTTTTTATTAACTTATGAATTTTCTCACAAACACCTTGCCAAAATTATAAAAAAAAAAAAAAAAAACTATTGTTTGGAAGTGCAAGAATTGAAACGTTAGCAACAAAATTGAAAATAAAGTAAAAATGAAAGGCTATTTTTACAATTAAACCTTCATCATAAAAAGGTTCACTAAATTATAAAAATATTTTTTTTTTCTTTACACTGTTTATTACAAATTTGCTTGTGCTTGAAGTTACTTTTTATTTTTGATTAATAATTAAAAGCTAAAATTGTTTTTTCACATTGGATAACTTATAAACATATATATATATATATATTTATAATTGTTTAATATAAAATCTTTTTTTTATATTTTAAATTATAAATTTAACTCATTTAAGGTACTTTTGAAATAAATATTTCAATAAAATTTATTTTAAATTTAATATTTGATCAAATAATGTATTTTTTTCAACTCTGAGATATTTCGAGAAATATCAATGGGTTTGAAGATTAAAAAAAAAATAATTTAGTTTTCTTGTAAATTTATTATGAAATAGTGTACATATAATTTGTACGTATATATTTTACTAAAAAGAATTTATATGCATACATAAAATCATGCATATATATGTATATATTATAGATTAAACAATAATTTTTAAGAAGTATACCAAAATTTATACATACTAATACATACCGCTCCAAAACAAAAACCGAAATACCAACTCCTTTGTGTTCTACAATTTGGGCTTGAAACATGAATGTGGCTGCACTCATAGTGGGAATAGTTTACACCATTCAGATTTAAAAGTAAATATACATCATATACTCGTACAAATGCTTGTTTGTCAATTAACTAAACAATTTTAATCCCCATCCTTCCTAAATAGATAGAAAAGGTAAGTCATACTCTACATACATATATACATACATACATATATATATTGTAAAGTTATATCACAATTATTTCAAAATAAAAGAATTATATAGCTCTCCGTAGACTTTCAGAATTTTATAAATAATTAAAAAAATATGTGCAATTAATATACAATCTATAAGAATACATAATATTATGATATCCTAAAAGAAATCTTTAATAAACTTTGCTCCCTAATAAATTCGTTTGGATGCATCGGTCTTCACATGCAAAACTAAAAGTGATTTCAATATTTAACCTTGCTTCCACCGTATCTTAAATTCTCTGGTGGTGAAATGTATTCCTGTAAATTAAAGTGCATTGAAGCCACAAAACTAAAAGAAGTCAACAAAGCATGTTCTCATTCTATTGAGTAATATGAACATTAAATGTCAGAATTAGGTTAAACTGGAATAAGAATTGATAGATGTTGAGAGTATTATAAAGATTGTAGGCGTGGATAAGGACTGAAATAGAGATTACATACATTTTGCAGGAGAGGATTTACCAGAGCTTGTTTCTTAAACAATAAACAAATGGCGGTGTCTAACGCTCAATCTCAGGTGGTGTTTAAGGGAACTATATATACATTTTAGAAAGAGGATATATAGTAAACTACATAGAAGAAAATATTATACCCAACAAGAAGATCAGGAGATAGTCATCCAGCACTGGCATCAGAATCCAATTGTTCACGGGTCACAAGAACACCTTGATCCCAAATCTCAATCCACCTGTCAGAGATTTGGCAGTAGAAAGTCAATATATTAGCTTCTTTTCTATTGGAAACCGATAAAAAAAAGGAATACTTCTACTGCATTTTCATTGTTATATATGTATGTGCTTCACCTATTCCTATCTTTTGTGCTCTTTTGGCTGATATCTTTGACATAATATTACAACGAAGATTGTGCTTCCAATTGTCATATAATGTGGATATGTCAGGTTAAGATGAGGTGAGCTTTTGCTTCTGTATGTAGTATTTAACCAAGATTAAATTTTGGATGAGGTTTCCTGCGAAACTAAAGTTATACAGGATTGGATACGAACCTT